AAACTGTAATTCCACTTGAACAAAAAAGCATTTAAACTGTTATTTATCATACAGACGTTCAAATAGAAACCACGAGAGAACATGAGAGGATTCTACACAAAGTCTGTTAATTGCCATCTAACAGCATAAATAGCTAAACCAATTATGCATAAATAGAATAAGCTTCTCTTAAATATGTTTCATTCAGAAGCAAATGGGTCATTGGGTTACAAATTATTAATTGTTTAAACATCAACAAACTGCATATTAAAATGATGCCGCTTTTGATGATCCGGAGCCCCACCAACCAACCCTACAACTTCAAACAGCCACATTCAACAATCCTTTCATTCATTTGCATCTGTATATAACAAGGACCGTATCCATTCTAATGCACGGCCATCTGAATCCATTTTCTGCTTGTATTGAGCAAAGCAAGGAAACAGCTGTATTTCCATTAAACCTGATGGAGGCTATTCAAGGAAGCCTTGGACATTCACAGGAAGGCATAAGATCAGATCTGTGAACACCAGCTCTTAAAGAATGAGATAATGTTTGTGCCTGAAATGTTTGTCAGCGAAAGTCACAAATCCAAGGGTTTTTTTTCAGCTATATGACAACACTCCAGCAAATAAGAGAGGAAAGTATGATGCCATAGAAATACTTGCATTTTATATCCACTCACTGATTTGCAGAGAAGTGACTGGGAGGGAGGGAAATGGTATCGAGTGGTAACAGGATGAATGACATAAAACAAAGCTGCAGCCACTGTAATCTGCCACTTTTGGGTCCCATACCAATGCTTTGGTAAACTCCGGATTCAAAATGCGATTCAATTAAAAGTCTCACATCAGCCACCAGCATTTCAGACAAAACAAAGTTGCTGAAAAGCAGAAAACCCGTCAATTTTGCCGTTGCATTGTGCACACAGCCATGTTGGTGTGCCCAAGGGACTGTGTGAACACTCAGATGGATGGTGAGAGTTGATACTAATTGATGTATCATGGACAGGCACAGTGTGGAATGGAGTGGAGGGCGTATCGTCATTGACGAGAGGTCCATAGATTAAGCTTGTCAGTTCCCCTTCCTTTTTATGCCTCTGGCAAGGGGTGCTCAGGAGGAATCAATTTTTTTGAGAAGCCGTATGGGTGAGGACCATAATAATAACATCATCCTCAGCTCCAGCCAAAATAAGCACGGCCATCTTGCCCAGTCTGAATCGATGTACCACTGTCTCTGCTGTCCTATGGTCGCTCCTGTAAGTCCATTGCTGTGCATGGGCCAAGATCCAATGCTGGGCAGGACATCGAGGTGATAATGCCAGCATCTGTCAGAGAAGCTTAGATATTCCTTTCCCAGCAAGCAGCAGGGACAGACTATAGATCTGTGCCATTCCTTGGCAGCAGAGGAGAAAAAAAGGTTATCAAATAAAATCAGTCATTCTCTGTGTGGACTGGTTCAAGCTTCCCACCACAAATGCTTCAAATAAACTCAAAAGTGATGTGAGGTTGTGAAATTCCCTTGGATTTAAGACTGCTCTGCCTTCAGACTTCAGGTTAAAGAATTAATCTCCACCCAGCTTTAATTCACACACAACACGGCGCTACATACATGTGAGGAAATAAATGTATGTTACATTTTAAAAAAAAGAAAATGATATTTTGGTTAAAAAGACTGAATTTTCTTCCGAATCACAAACCTATTAATAGCCAGTATAAAATGAAACACTCAGTGCAGCTCGTGGTGAATAGTTTCTATCAAGAATAAATGCTGCGTGAGTTTAAACTGTGACACAGATGTGTCACGACTCAAATAAGGGCATAGTTTTCTATCTTTTCTGTTAGGTGTTGAAATGTACTGATTATCACTTTCCTATTTTGATGTATAATATATATTTTTATGGTAAATGTATCATATGTTGTTTCAGAGTTAAAAAGACTGTAACGTGGTGTAAAAGAGAACTGAGGCTGGAATATTATGTGTGCTCCTGAGCCTGACTGACAGTTTAATGAATCGGTGGACAAGTAAACACATTACTTTACTTTCTCGCAATAAGTTCTCCTCTTTTTCTTTTTTTTTTTACAGAACAAGTAATTGTTGTGGTTAAAGAAAAACCAAACACTAATGTTAAAGCAGACAATGCATCATCACTCACCCACAACAGAAAATTTAAGGATTTTAATGTAGCTGTAAAATCAATAAAAGACACAAAGGTACGTCAACAGCAGGAAGTATATTGAGGTAGATTGTAGCTCATAAATGAAACATGCCATCGCTTTCTGAGAGAAAGAAATACATTGTGGCTAAATTACTGCTGTAGTTTATGATCTACCCTGCTGCTCCAGGCAGTGCTGTTGCGTTTATTCACACAGCACTCAACTGAAGGGTGAGAAACATCTCCAACATTTTTAACCTCTTAGCCCTCACCACATACTGCAGCTCTTCAATCAGAAAATGTTCATACTTAAGGTTTTCTCTTTAACCTTACTGTACTGGGTTGATGGCAGAACTCAAGCCCTTTTGCAATTAGTAAGTCAATCTCTTAACACCTAAAAAACACACAAGAAACAATAAGTCCATCTTCACTTATTGCAAACTGTTGCTCACCCACTTTCCACCATATATGAGCACAATCAAAGCAGCAGTTTTAAGTTGCTCATTACTTTAATTGACAGTTTTTGTGAAGAACTTTTCTCTCTTTTTTACTTACAATCAAGCAAACAATACAAGCCTCTGCATCATAACCTCAGACTGACAGAAATACAAAGCGTCCTCTCCACTGTTTTGCACATACAGTGATCAGAAAGCCCGGAGGAGAAAAGAAGTCCCTTGCCATTGCCTAAGGTTGTTTAACTCAACATTAACAATGTATGAGCTTAAAGATTCTACTGGCACCGTCTTTGTACAATTGCAACACGTCTTAAAGATGTTGCAGCAAAGCAAACAAGTTGGTCACACTTGATTTTTTTGTCAAAATGTGATTTCTTTGTGCAAGAGAAGTTTAGACGTCCATTAAGACATTAGGGCATCTGAATCGCTTAAACATTAAGTGGTTCTTTTTTTTTTTTTCTTAATCTCAACATTTAAAGAGTATGGAGCTGATAGTAATTCTAAACTTCTAAGGACAAAAATTTGTTCTGTTCTGGTGCGGGAGATACAGTAATGTACTCTTTCATATCCATGTATTCTGAAGGGTTTTTGGTCAAGAGAGTACACAAAATCAGGCTCAGTGAAGCTGCTGTAGCTTGATTTTTTATTAAACGGACACAGCTGAAGCTTTTGTTGTGAATAGAAACATAAATGAATTTGGTAAATTACATCTTTACATTGCAAAACAACGACCGCATTCTCCTTTCCACATACAGTTCAACAACCCTATATCGATAACAATGATTGGATATGGCTCAGAACTAATTCTCCTCCTGGACAGAATATTAATTGTGGTCAAACTCTAGACTTCTGTTCCAATAAAGACAGGGAATTGATTTGCCGATGTGCTTCATTGTTATTCTTGTGGCACGCTATTTGTTTTTCGTGGGGGTGAAACAGTCTGGGGGTAAAATGGACAAGCTGGAATAACAGAATCGAGCGGAGGCTGCGGACGCTAGGTGTCACCCTTGTGACTTTGAAATCTGCCAGCCCTAGACAGGATGTGATGGCGGCTGAGCGCCGGTTAGAGTCAGGCAAGCAGCCTGGCTGCATGGGAGGAGGTGTGCGTGCGTGTCTGCGTGCAAAGGGCCGGCTGTAAGCGAGTGTCGCTTCCATCTGAATGAAAAGAGTGAGATTTCAAGGAGGGCGATGACAGTCTGCAATATGTGCAGAACGACTAAACTTCATATTCAATCCTTTTTTTCTTGCCATAGTTTCCTGCTTGTGTTGGCTGAGATTTAATGGTGGTAAACTGGTCACATTAGATGGAGCCATAATGTCAATTACCCATTGTGGAGATAGCACAACGGGCGCCTTGAATGTGTTGTTCCATTATGACCATTAGCTGTAGGTAGGATGAAGGTCACGGTGAACCCAACTCATTACTGGCCTTATTAACAAAAGGTTTAATATTTACAGCCATTAAATGGCGTAATAAAAATCATTATCTCTATAATTAAAAACACTCTGTTGTAGGCTTTCTATGGTTCTCGTGTTCATTACAAAGTATTTAACAAAATAATGAACTAATAGCGATAAAAAAAAAATACAACAACGCTAGCATCAAGGAGGTATGAAACAGACAACTGGCTGTGACCGTTCGTGGGGTAAAAGCTTGAGAATTTCTTTTTATTTTATATAAATCTGAGTTACTATTGATTCCCCCCCCCCAGCTTGTTGTTACATGGAAGCCATCATCTAGGCCTATAATATTTGTTCATTATTGGAAATTGCCTCACCGTGGTGCCCGGTGTTGCTGAAGTTCAGAACATTAGATGCATGACAGCCACGTCTAGGGTCTAAATGATGCAACACGATGCGTGCACTTGCAACGGTTGTGGGCTATAAGATCAGCAGGCCGTGGCTGACTCTAAAATATGCAGCATAAGCCAACAGTAAACACTGTCGAGTAGTTTCGATGTCTGCTCTGGCACGGAGGTGACCACACCTTGACGTATCACCTCTTGTCTCTAACAAAAGTCAAAAACAAGAGCGAGTATTCTCCTGTTGAAGATCTGTATAGTAAAATATGACTTGTTACATTTAATGGAGCACAACAGTAGAAAGGAACGCAGGGGCAAATCTGTGAAAACTTATCCGTGGGTTCGCTTCTCCGCTTCTGCTGGAAGAAATTGGTCTGTTACTCTTGTCTGTGGCATTCGTGGGAGTCTTTTCAAAGACCCCCATGGGTCCCCAGACCCTACATTTGGAACCGCATTCTAACGATCATCTAATACTCAGCTTCGTGTTTCGGCGTGTACGACGTAATTGCCCGTCAAGTCGTCCATCTGCAGGAGAACAGGTAGTTGGCCGCGTTTCATTGCTGTACTTTGCCCCACCCACCAGCAGCTCCAGCCCTCCTGTGTAACCCCTGATTGGCTGAGGGGATTGCGGGTCCTCAGACCGAGCGCTCGCCTCGGAGCTGAGAGTTCGCCAGTGTGCACCAGTGAAGCGAGAGGAGCGCTTGTTGGAGTCAACTAGACAGCCTTCTGGCAACGAGTAGTGATTTCTTTTTTTCTGCCTCAACCAGGCTGGATATAGGCGACTGTGCTTCAGTTTGCTGCAGCTAAACATGCGTTTTGAACATACAGTAGTGCTCTGACAAGGTTTCCTCCCACAGGCTTTTGGCTACATTTTCATCGGATTTTTTTTTCTTTTTTTCTGTGTTGCATGGACTAATAATCGGGATATGTGAAGCCTTTTCCAACTGACACAGAAGGAAATCAATTAGTAAGTAAAAGCTTGAAGACTTACGGAGGGGACGAAAGACTAAATCTGCTGGAAATAAAAAGGTAATCGGGACTTGAGTGATGTGATGAGACATTCCTGCAATTGCACCCTCTTTTTTTAAGCAAAGCTATCCGGACTTAGGCTGTTGAATAATTTTGCGACTGCTGATTCTTTATTTTATTTTATTTTTTTCATCAATTGTGCAGTTTAAAAGCCTATAGCTGTCTATCGATAAGGAAATTTGACCACTGCCTGTATTAAATTGCACAAAACAAGATGTTTATTCAAAATGCGACTTAAATATTGACTGGGATAAAGGCTGAAAATCTAACACGGACTTTTAAGCTCCTTTACTTTATCAACAAAGAAGTTTTTTTTTTAAATTGTGGACTTACTCAAAGGAATTTTGTGTCTATGCAGTCCGAACATTTATTTCTAGTTCCAGCCCACTTGAAAATGGACGATTCATCGCACAAGTTCTGTGTAAGACCACTTTGCCGCTTGATAAGAGCAGCACGGATTTATTCGACTAAATCAGTACTGTGAGAAGATTCAGCATGTTTTCACAGATCTGTCGTCCCCAGTGTTTCGTCCGCTGCAGTAGACCAGAGGATGTTCCCTGCCTGTGGAGAGTGAAATAGGCTAAGGCACTTGTTAGAATTTTAGCTTTCACACCTAGATATAATTTTCATACATACGAGATTTTCATCACTCAGATACTTTTTGGACATTTTAATGAGATGGTTAATTTGCATAATTTTTCCAGTTGTCTCTGACGTGTACCTCTGTGCGTAATTATCAAGGTCTTTGTTAGGCACAGGAAAAGTCAACAGGTACAATGCAAACGAAGGAGATGGAATTAATACAATTAACTGCTGTGTTCCTCCTTTTTTGGGTCGGGACTGAAGCTGTTATCAATTTAAAGTATGGAATAAACGAGGAAATGAGGGCCGGGTCAGTGATAGGAAACGTGACAAACGACGCACTAAAGCAAGGATTTCAGATTGCACCGCAGCCCCCGTACTTGAGGGTCATATCCAATTCACATCCTGGATATGTTGAACTGAGTCCAGCAGGAATTCTTACAGCCCAACAGAAAATAGATCGGGACGTATTTTGTCGACAAAACCCAAAGTGCATTATATCCCTAGAAGTGATGTCAAACTCTATGGAGATCTGTGTCATCAAAGTTGAAATTGAGGATTTGAACGATAACGCACCCAGATTCCCTACGAGCCACATTGACATAGAAATTTCTGAGAATGCTTCCCCTGGTACCAGGTTTCCCCTAGAGGGGGCAAGCGATCCGGACTCGGGGATCTTTGGAGTGCAATCATATTCTATCACTCCAAATGAGCTTTTCGGACTAGAAATAAAGACCAGAGGGGATGGGTCGAAAATTGCTGAGCTTGTTGTGCAAAAATCGTTAGACAGGGAAACTCAGTCCCACTATACATATGAAATCAGCGCAGAAGATGGAGGAGACCCACCAAAGATAGGTGCGGTCCAGTTAAATATTAAAGTAATTGATTCTAATGATAACAACCCCGTTTTTGACGAGCCAGTGTATACAGTTAATGTGATGGAGAATTCCCCCCGTAATTCATTAGTCATAGACTTGAATGCAACGGATCCCGACGAAGGCACTAATGGAGAGGTCTTGTACTCGTTCAACAGTTACGTCACCGAGAAAACGAGGGATGCTTTCAAAATTGACCCCAGAACCGGGGTTATCACTGTCATTGGTGATTTGGATTATGAAACGACGCAAATATATGAAATCGACGTCCAAGCCAAAGATCTAGGTCCAAACTCTATCCCAGCTCACTGCAAAGTCACCGTGAATGTGATGGATACTAACGATAACCCACCTGTCATCAGTTTACTCTCACTGAACACAGAGATGGTGGAAGTTAGTGAAAACGCGCAGCGTGGATATGTCATTGCGCTGGTGAGGGTGTCAGATAAGGATTCTGGGGCAAACGGCAAAGTGCAGTGCAGGCTGCAGGGTAATGTTCCGTTCAGACTACAAGAATATGAGAGCTTTTCCACTATACTTGTTGATGGCAGGCTGGACAGAGAGCAAAAGGACACATACAACCTGACCATCCAAGCAGAGGACAGTGGCATCCCCCCTTTACGCGCCACAAAGTCGTTGGTAGTAAAAGTCACAGATGAAAACGACAACCCTCCCCACTTTCTTAAGCCACACTATCAAGAGATGGTGATGGAAAACAACCTCCCTGGCTCATGCCTGCTAACAGTATCAGCTGAAGACCCTGATCTGGGGATGAATGGCACCGTTTCATACTCAATAGTCCCTGGTGAGATTAAGCACATGGATGTAAACACATATGTCAGCATAAACCCATCAGGCCGCATTTATTCAATGAGGTCGTTTGATCATGAATACACTAGGACTTTTGATTTCAAAGTGCTGGCCAGAGACAACGGCAATCCGTCTTTATCAAGTAACGCAACAGTGCGCATCGTCGTGTTGGATGTCAACGACAACACACCTGTTATGACAAACCCTCCGCTGGTTAATGGCACAGCGGAAGTTTCTATCCCAAGAAACGCTGCGAAGGGTTACATGGTGACCCAAATTAAAGCTGACGACTATGATGAGGGGGAGAACGGGCGGCTGACCTACACTATCTCAGAGGGAGACAGGACTTTCTTTGAAATCGACCAGGTGAACGGAGAGATACGCTCCACCAAAATGTTTGGGGAAAACGCCAAATCCACCTACGAAATCACAGTTGTGGCGAGGGATCACGGCAAGCCCTCCCTGTCCTCTTCGGCCTATATAGTGGTGTACCTCTCTCCAGACCTCAGCGCGCAGGAGTCTATAGGACCTGTCAACTTGTCTCTCATCTTCATCATCGCCTTGGGCTCTATCGCAGCTATCCTGTTTATCACCATGATTTTTGTGGCGGTCAAGTGCAAGAGGGATAACAAGGAGATCCGGACGTACAACTGCAGGTACTGACTAAAGCCCGTGCGTGCTTGTGTGTATGCATGTATAGATTTGTGTATGCAAGAGGGAGAGAGAGAGAGAGAGAGAGAGACATTTTGTGTGTTTGCAGTCACGCTTGAACCTGTCAGTTGTCAGTGCATTGCTTTTGTTATGCAGCATGTAAAGGCTTCTAATCTGAGGACAGCAGATTTCTTTCCACAGCTGAAATTGAGTTATATCTAAATAATCTCTACTGCATTAAATCAGAAACATTCGCTAAGGCCCACTGTTCTGTGTTAGCGGAACATGATTGATGGATTTAATTCTTTCATTGTAACCAATTGACTCATAAATATGACGGTTCAACTGTCATGTTTAATTTGCGGATGTGTTGCCGGACAATTAACGCCCCACTGGCTCAATAGCAGAACCAGACATTTATTATTTAACCTCCACCGTGGCTGATTGGCTGTTATCAGCTTTAATCTAGTGTGATTATGGATAGTCCTCAAGGATCATTCAGGCTCCCCTCTGCCTTTCTCTACAAAAAGTATAATAATGTAAATATAAATATAACATAAAAAGAAAAAGAGTTTAGATTCTATGAGAGTATGTAAGTCATATCCCACTCATTAACTATGAAGACTGCTTCATGGAAAGGAGCAGATTATTGTGTTCCTGAACTTGCATAGCGGATATTCTGTTGTGTTCATCAGTCTGAACATCAGTTCTGGCTTTGATTTCCCCGTGCCACATTACCACTAAATTTACATATAGATTGGATTTGAGAATTTAACCTGAAGCTATAATCATATTTTGCTCCAAACATTATTTTGTTGATTTAAAGTTACTTAATTTTTTTTAAGCAGTGGTGGTCATGAAAACGTGAGAACTGACTTAAGAATAATTGTTGTTGTTTTTTTCACCATTAATTACAAATGATGTACATATATGTATAAAAAATGTTCCCTTGAAATTATCACAGGCATGTTTCAACACTCTTAATTGCAAAGATTGGACTTGGACTAGAGAGTTCTAAGAGGAAAACATAATCACAAACTATGTCTCCATCACAGTCGACCCCTTTTTTTAATTGTTAACAAGAGACACTAATATCTCCTGGAAAAATGTTATAAACGTGTTTTTATTTGAGCCTGTTTGGAAATACAGGGAAATCTATTTATTGACATCTCGACAGAAACATTTCTCACATTTTTTTTAATGTCAGTTGTGCATTTTCTTCAGAGAAAAAAACCCCAATGATAGACAACAACAAATTCAAAATTCAGAACTGCTCCCAGTACTTTGCTCTCCGAGTGTGCGACACTATCCCTGCTGGGTGCTTTAATCAGCACTGATGTGCTCTGCTTCTCAGTCGCCACCTCGAATATGAGGAGCAGTTGTCTCCAATTTATTGCTTGTCCTCTGTCAGTCTTTCTGACTCTGAAGATTTTCCCTCCCAGATTTCATTGTGGGCACAAAGTAGAAAGAAAACATGTTAAAATGATAAATGAAACAGCGATGAAGCATTTTCTACCCTTGCAGCTGCCCATTTTCTTTCCTCTGAATCAAGGAGGAGCAGAATGGGGGTTGTTTCAAGATGCAATCTGAAAGACAAAAAGGAAAAAAGGAAAAAGACAAACTACAGTGGTGCACCTTCTTAGTCAGTGTGATTTTAGGAATGATAGAGGATAAGTGCTGCCTTTCAGAGAAGAACAGAGGTCAGTGAGGCCTAGTAAAGCAGAGACATGTTTGACATCAGAAAGGATCGGATACATTCAGGTAATTCAATTTCCTTGGCAGCTATAGTTTTGTTATCAAATTATTGTGGGAAACAAACCATATCCCCCATGCCATAAGGTTAAAAATGACCCTTTCCAGTCTTTGAGGTAATGCAGGTGGTAAAAAGGATCACATATTTTCTTGAATATGTCTAGTGAGGGTTGCACTGATCACTGCAGAGTATTTAGCATCTGTTCTCCTGTGGAAAACTGCAGGGCTGTGTGAAGAATGGATATTTCCCCCAGTCTGAGAATCCTTTGATAAAACATGGCTGTGTTGCTCATTTGCTCTCGTTAAAGTCAAAATACTCAGTTCAAGTTTGCAGCAGCCACTGAGAGCAGCTAAATGAATTTGAATCTGCAGTTCTCCTGCACTCCGTGTTGCTAGTGGGCTCCCTTGATAATGAAAGAAAAAATGGAATTAGTGTGGGATGTGTGCTTTGAATGTGATTGCATATACTGCCGATGCTGCTCGGTATCAGTGTGCTCTTTTTGCTGTGCTTCTGTGGTTTTGGCATGTTTGCATATTGTCTGCCTGTTTGTGACATGTCAATTGTTGAGCATGCAAATGCAAACAAACAAGGGATAACAGCTCCACTGCAAGCTTCGAGTGGAAGGTCACTTACGTGCGCTGCTCCACCTTTGGAAAAGGGCAATTATCCCATGGTTGAACAGTGTCCTAGCTGGCATGGTGGGGAAACTTTTTGACCATATGGGCAGGGGAGGGGGAAGGCAGAACACTGCTTTATTGAGTCTGTTCAGTTTCTTCTACTTGCGCAGGGTCGCGGAGTACTCATACGGCAACCAGAAGAAGTCCAGCAAAAAGAAGAAGCTGAGCAAGAACGACATCCGCCTGGTGCCCCGAGACGTTGAAGAGACAGACAAGATGAATGTGGTGAGTTGCTCATCTCTCACCTCCTCGCTCAACTACTTCGACTACCACCAGCAGACCCTGCCGCTGGGCTGCAGGCGCTCTGAGAGCACCTTCCTCAACGTGGAGAACCAGAACTCACGCAATGCAGCTCCCAACCATGGCTATCAGCACCCGTTCACAGGGCAGGGTCACCAGCAGCAGCCAGACCTCATCATCAACGGCATGCCACTGCCAGAGGTGAGATAAAATCCACTGTGCTCTGTCCTTGATCCTTGGCTGGGCTGCTTTGGCTTTAGAATACATTTTAAATTTGAAACTGATTCCTGTGATTAAATGCAATGGTTTAGGAGAAACAAAGAAATTGTTACTTTTGTAATTTTAGCATTTAGTTTGCTTGATAATAAATAACAGGTATATGTGGGCAAAAATATCTAAAAAAAAAAGGGTCCAGGGATATGTAGCATTCCACTGTACCAAAGAACACAGTGCCAGTGAAATGTTGGTCTATTATTGATGGAAAAGCTGAGCCACTGAAATGGCAATATGTCAGTCGATCTGAGAGGAATCCTTCAAGGCATTTTAAGGTGCTGAGGCACTGAAGCTGTCCTTTGATGAGAGTGCTTTGCCAAGCAGAAGTTGGAGGCCTAACAAAGTGGATTATTTGGCATCTCTTACTCCACTTGTTTTTTTATTTCTATGTGCTGAGCAATTGCAAAAAAAACCAGGAGTTTGTCCACCTGCCAGATGTATTGACCTGGCTAATCACCTCTACCTCACAGCATTTCAGGTGCTAACAGAAAGAATAATCATTGCTTAAATCAGTATGTCGTCCATTTGGCTACAGCATTACCGCATGGCTGCTCTGCACAGCCAGCCATTGAATTACCCTGACACACCATGCATGGCTCCAGCAGAGCAGTGAAGGTCTGACTTGAAAGGCTATTCAAGCTGACAGGTGTATGCCGACCAGCTGATCCTTAGTTTATAGATCTTTTTGTATGTATGAACTCATCTATTGGATTCTGTCGTCAACCTTTCTTTTTTTCTTCATGACCCACTTCTCCTCAATCCCATGGGAGAGGGGGACATTTAGATTTGTATGTGTGTGTACTTGTATCAGAGTATTTACCACACCCACTCATATTAGTGGCAAGCTCCACATATACACACACACCCTTGTAAAGGATGGTTACAGTCTCCATTTGACATTCCAGTGAGGAGAAGGTGGGGGTAGGGGGTCTTAAAACAAGGAACACAAGATGGATATTGATATATTGACTGGATGATCCTGAAAGATCCAGGCACCAATGGATTGTGAGAGGTCAATGAGACCTACTTACAGGCATGCTGATTTACTGAGCCTGTCTGAGCTGGTTCCAAGTGACTGTGTGTGAATAACACAGGTGGAAAAAATGAAAAATGTAGTTGTGTCAGTGGAGGCAGAGGTGTGGGATTCAGCAGGTACATGAAGTGACCAGTTTTCTGTGATTGTGGCAGCTGGTAGGCAGTGCTATGCAGGTCAACACAACCCTCCCTCTCTCTCTCTCTCTCAAAAAAAAATCTACAAGATATCCACTAACCTGGTAAAAAAACAAAAACTTGAACAGCATCCTGTCTCTTTGGCTGAAGCATCCAATAAAAGCCCGTTTGCCGCAGGATCAGGACACCCTTTATTTGTTTCACCTAATGAAAAAGGGGAGAGGGAGCAAGTAAGGAGAAAGATTGATTTTGATGATTCCATATGCAAAGCTTAGAGTTGTCTTGATAGAGCTGTGTGAGGCCAGATAAAGAGATAAGGAGTGAGCCAGGGTGAATATTGAGTCTTAGTGCCAGGTGTCTGAGCCTCGACCACGTTTTCTCATTTTCTTGGAGGCAGTTGGTTGGCCTAATAGAGGCTGGGGCTGTTTAGCATGCAGCTTCCCTCTCTCTCCTTCTTCCACTAGATGTTGACAAACATCTCTTTGACCCGACATTTGCACATTTTCTGGACCGAGAAAAGAGAGTGTGTGTGTGTGAGATTCACTAAGTAAAGAAAACAGTATCAAGAGCATGCCTTGTCCCCCAGCAGATAACCCAGCACAATGACATTGTCACTGTTTTCTTGGCTCCCCATTGTGACACTTGCAAGAGACAGAGGCTATACAGGATGTACAAATGTTACTCTTAAATTAAAAAAAGAATGTTTTGGTATAATTACAATGCCATTTATAGCACAAACAAACAGCAGTGGGATGACTGTTAATTGCTTTGTTACAATGAGAAAGCTTGGGCTTGAAACCACTTGACTCCACAAGTCCTCAACCCATATCCCATTGACTGGCTAGGACACACGAGTGGCTGCACTGTTGTGATTACTAAGGCTGCTTTGTCCCCAAAAATAGTTTTCATCCTGAGGGCAACCTCGTAATTATCCATGATTCATTTATCCTTGGCAGAAGAGCCTTTTGTTTTTACACCACGGCACAGTGATGTCGCTGCATTTGTTTATTTTCCAAACGTGTAGTTTAAAATTATCAGCCATCAGAACCATGTCAGATTTGGTTTGTTAATGGAGGGAAACAGGATATGGGCTTGTATCTGTTTGTAATTTATGCTTTTGATCAATAGAAAGTTCTCCTCTATTGTTAGTTCATGTGGGGCAGCGAGAATCCTGCTTATGTCAGAGCAGCTGGAGTCGAGCTTTTCCTGCGTTAGACAAAGCATGCTGGCACACACACACACACACACACACACACACACACACACACACACACACCTACAGCAGTCTTTGCCAAGATAACAGTGACAGGTCTCCCCAAAGGCCTCATACCTGTAGTTGCATTGTGTATATTGCATTCTCCCTCGTGAGAATGTGGACCAGTATATCATCCATATACATCCCTAAACATTACTGTCCATTGTTTGGAAAAGCATCAGCTGTGAGATGTTTGTTAGACCTGCCTGTAGTAGCACTAATATGAATGCTCACAAGAGAATAGAGCTGTCTTCCATGGCTTAATTATAGTGAATCACTTGGTGGGGGAGACAATTATACAGTAAAGAAATAGCCTTTGGCTAGAATGTGTTTTTGAATTTGTAATGTGTACTAAGGCTCCTCACACCTGTGATTCCAGATAATGAGTATAGCAGGAAAATGAGTTGTCTTACTTCATCGATTAGCCTTATTCAGGTAAGAGATCTTTTTTTTTGTAGGGAGGATTTATCAGAACAAGGTGATGTGTAAAATTGAAGAAAAAAGCGATTTGACATTGTGTTACACAGTGTAAAATGCATTCGGTCAAAAGTATGTTTTACAGGATAAATTGATTGATAACAGAAGCAGTCATCCAACAACCCAGCAATCCATATGCCCACCACACCCCTTCAAATACACTGTCCAAGTTTTAGTTATATAACAAGAAAAAAAAGTACCTTTTGTGTTTGCACTCGCAGTCAATCAAAGTATGCTAAATAAGAAAAAAAAAGAAAGAGATCTGCGTATCTGTCTTGCTGTTTTTCCCGTTAGTAACGAAGACATTTTGATATTGATGTAGGAAAGACAACAGGGAGTGGTTCCAGCGAGGATGCACATCCCTTGCTATCACTTCACATCGGGACAATATGCATGGGAGCATTCAGACGTGTCATATTGAGCATGCAAAATAGATGTCATGCTGTCAGTGCATACTACACATCTGTTGAAACTGCCAATCTCCCCCCACACATGTACTCGTGAATACACAGGCACACACAATATTTCTTATGGAGTGTCACATTTATTTGAAATATGGGCTGTGACATTATCATTTACATCATTATGACTGACTCAGAAATCTCAGAGAAGGAGGAGTGAGAAGCATATTTCATATTTTCAATAATCAAACAATGCTGTGAATTTTGCATTTAAAGTACACTTTTAGTGTCGTGTACTGCCGGCGCGTGGAAATGTTGCTAAAATGTTTTTATTTTAGTGTCATGTTTAGTGTTTGATCTCACAGGACAGTTCTGGTGTCACAAATTTACTGGTGTCTAGTTCTGGTCACAGATATACCTCTGCAACTCTGAATAGTTTGTCAAAGACTAATCGTGTTAGGAAAGAGAAAATGACAGTTATACAGATGTCGTGCAATAAGGGGAGGGATACATAACACCTTGATATTGCATTTTATTTCATTTATTTATTTATTTTTTGATGCGTTGGAAGACTTGGGTGGGGTATGTTACATTCTTTAACGTCTCCTATTTTCAGACCGTTTGAAAAAGAATCGTTTCATCTACAAAAGCCTCAGAAGCTCACTGATTGAGTGGCAGTTGAACCTGTTAATTATTTAGAGAGGTTATTTGTAAGGTAGAGACTTCAGAAATCTTGTGCTTTTCAAGTGTCAGTGTTTATAAAGTGAAATAAAGCAGCATCTGTCAAAGAAAATTAAAAGTGTGATGTGATGTGCTTAGTGGCCTCTTATATCTGATTGTAATTAATTCGCCAAACTGGTCAAGCTGTAGCTGACAGAGCAGCGTTACTCAGCAAGATGGTTTTCAGTTCATGTACAACTAGTGCTAGTTTTACGCTTGGTTAGGTTTTTATAGCCTTGACCCTAACCCGCAACACCCCATCACCGCGTGTCATTCTCGATGTCGCAAAGCTACAATGAAATGACATAACAACCCCAGGCAGCCAGTCAGAAGCATCCAGCCCCGCCGGGTTGCCGCCCTATCGTCAGGATCAGAGCATCCAGCCAAAAGAGTTTAAGAGTCAAAACACACAAGTGACAGCATCTGATGTACACATGTCACTGCATGTATCCTTAACCACATGTGACTTGCAAAGATTGTACAGAGGGAGTTATGCTGCAGAAAAATGGCAAGGCCTGAAAAATCGAGTCGAGACAGAGTGGGAGGGAAAAGGGGGTGATATCTATTTATAGGATGTCAATGATTTTCTTCAACCTGTACTGCTGCAGCCTGAAACATGTTATTTTTCTGTCTAAAATACTGCATTGGGATGAGGAAGAGATTTTATTGCCCAAATCGTATTAACCGCGATACAGATAGCAATCATGTCGCTTCTTTATTGCATGTACAAGATGCTCTTCCCCCTTGAAAACACAAATATTATGATTACATTTGTGGACTCGTGAATGTGCTCCGTGGCACAGACGAACGACGGTGTTTTGAGTTTTGCACCACTCGATATCTTTCCTTTAAATCTCGACGGTCTTTTAAAATCAATCCTTTGAGGCGTGTCAGATTCGTTCAGC